AGCAAGCGAATCAACTACGAAACTCACCCATCCTCACGCCAAACCAACTGCAGCTGGCTCAGCTGACCGCTAATCACAATCAACGGCAAGACCTTCACTCCAAGCATCTCCAAAGTCCCTCTTCAGGACTTCCAAGCCATCACCTCCAATGGATTGGCGCGGCTTTGCCCGGCAGGTGACGATGTGTCATGCAAGGGAAGGGAACGGAAGGTGACGGTGAAGGAGACACTCAACGAAGTGTCGATTCCCTACAGCCAAAGGGACAAAATATTACTAGAACCAAACACTGCTGGCACGGCGACAGTGACAATGATCGAAGTGTCATTGATGCTTCTTGATCGTATAGCTGTTTGGATCTGGATGATCTGTTTGGGCTGGGCTATGCAATTGCTCCCAGCCTCAGTCCCTCCCCACAGCGCGGTGGATCGAATCTTGCCACAACACCATACAGTTTCAGCTCAGAATGCTTTGAGCAATTTCCCCCAATCCAGGACCATCCAATTGCCGGTCGCCAGCCGCACGCTGCTCAATAAACCCCGCCATGATAGATGGATGATCGGCTTGAACATCCAGGAAATGGTGTTTTCTGAGGCTAATCACTTCATAAATCAAGCTTCGGCCTTCCCGAAGGACTCGCACCCCATCCGACGCGGACCAACACGGCGGGTTCTCGACACCTCCAACACGGCGGTGGGCCCCGGCGCACTCGCGCGCGAAGTCGAATTCCACCCCGTCCTCGGAGGGAAAGGACTGGGGAGAAAAAGTAGATGTAAAGCATTGACCTTTCCTGCCGTAGCCGGAATCTTGATGGTACCATTTGCTTTTGCGCGGTGTTGGAGGCCGCGACAGTCCATATATGTCTAGTTGCTCCCCATTCAGCTTGCGAATTGGGGGGCGCGACAGTTCTCAATCGTGGCCATCGACCAAAGTTGGGGTTTTCCAATAGGTCTTCAGCGGCCAATGACGACATCGAAATTCATCTAGCTTTCAGTGTGTCAGTTGTGTGCCTGACCACTTGTCACCTATCCTGACAATGCCTGGAGTGAATCAACCATCGTGAAACCAAGGTAGTTTTTCCCTTTGGCCTTTGGCTCAGAAACATGCATGAGTTAAGTTCGAATAAATAACTATATATACTGTATATTATATATATCTATAACAATAACTAAAAATAAGATTAAGTTAATTAGTTGAGTTATATAAGTTAAGTTAATTCTAGTAAGAACACAAAATAATCGGTAAGTCCCTGCGCTTCCAAGCTGCGATGACAAAAAGCTCCCTGGGCGCATCCAACAGCAGCTGCTCGCACACCGCCAAGTCCTTCCCTGCGCCGTGTGCGTCGTTTTTGCATCAACGAGCACCCAGCCACGTCCGGTCTGTGGCCAAGCAGGTTGATCCGTTTCAGTTCACGTATATCAATCATCCGCACAGCAAATGGCTAAACAACAGGAGTACAAATCAGAACTCGTCACCAGAGCCTGCCCACACCGCCCCACAGCTCCCACAAAACAGCTGCGGTCATCTTTGTCCCTCCATTCCGCTCCCTTGCGCCCTACGCGGGTCCAACAGACACCGCGCCCACACCACCTGGTCCAGGAACCGTCAAACGCGCGCACACCGCCGTTTCTACCGCGAAACGCGCGTATAGCGTGCGCCTGTGAAGGTGTCTTCGGAGCGGCGCTCCTCAGGCGGCAGGGACAGGTCCTCGAGGTCGATCTCCAGGAGATGCCTTTCTTTTCGACGCGTTTCTCAGAGCGATCGCCTCGTGTTTTTTGGGGGGGGCGGAGGAGGGGGGGTGAACGGATGAGATGGATTGGAGGGATGGACGCCACTGGAAGCCGAGACAACGAGACTGGGCGGAGTTTCGGTTGGTCACTGGAGTGAAACGTGAGCTTTTTGGCCGAAAGAAGCACTTCCAAGGCTGGATTCTAGAGCAACTTGGTACCGGAAGGGATCGGGGGAGTAAAGGATTACACTGGATTTCAACAAGCTCCAATGTGCGTGCAAGAGGCTGCAAGGCAACCACTTCAAACCTTGGCTTTCCGGCACGAAACTCAGCAAACTAGTTGGCAGCACTTGCGCCGTACAACGAACAGGTTGACCATCCAAGCCACCCAGGACAGACCACAGGACATACAGAACCAAACTACCTCCCACACCTCACAGGATCGTGAGGGTCATGTTCCCTTCAAAGGAGGTGATGCCTCTCGGGCGAATCCTGCTGTACTGTGTCTTTTGGACACAGGTCTCTTGGACGTTCCATGGGGTCTCACGGAACGAACAGGATCCATGCCGGCAAAGCTATATATGATGCTATATGTGTCTTGGAGTTGGGAACTGGGAACCCCCAAAAATCCACTCAAACTACCAACCCACTGAGCTGGGCTCCCCTGTGGTAAGACCCATCCAAAATCATCCAAATCCTTGCAACAAGACTTGAAGAGAATCGATGAGTCTACCTCAGGAGCTCACCTGTTTCACCCCTCTCTGATGGCTCAACTCTTCCATCCGCGTGCCGATCGTCGCGGCGTGGCGCCCAGTCACAGCTCCGTCGAGCGCAAGGTCCAGAGTTCCGGGTGCCGCTGCAAGTGCCGATGGCCTCGGCTCGCCCTGGAAACCACCACGCTGGCATCGGTGCGGCGAAAAGCGAAGCCCTCACAGTACGAGGGAAGTTGAGGATCCCCAAAACAGCCAGGAGCTGAGTTGGAGGGTGCCTCTTTTTGAGGCCAAGCCCCATTTGATGCACGACACATCTGGTGATTTACTTGAAGCCGGCGCCAAATACTCCCACGATCTTTTGGCTTTTCTAGACTCACTGAACGCAGTGGCGGATATGCAAATGCTGTGCTCGAGGTGGACCCCAGTCGGTGCATGGTGCCTCCTCACCCAGCTGCAAGCAGCCAAATAAGCAGTAGAAAAGGTCGGTCAAAGCCTCTCATTCTTCCCAGCTCCACGCTGTGGGCGCTCAAGAAAATGGTCGACCACGCTTGACCCATGTGTTTTCAAACTTTTCAGGACAACACGGCGGCCCCCATCACGGCCGCTGCGGCCCTCCCCATCCGCTGGGCCGCCGGACTGGCATCTTTGGCCCGCTCACGGCTGTCCTCATTCAGGTAGAGCTCCTCAGAACAAATTCCAGGGTGGCATGGAGGGCCTACCCTCAGCCAAAGCTAATTACAGGCCTGGCCAGTGCCTTCTTGAAGGCCGAAAAATGATCAACCACCACTACATAGGCGTGGTTTTGAGAAGTTCCACCCGCTTCCACCAACACCCTGCTGATGTGCTAGTGAACCCAGGATCGATTAGACATTGGCAGTGACATTGGCGGCTCCCCCACAAACACCTGGAGGCTGAGCCCTCGTCCTTTCGATGCACACGAGTGCACATGGGTGCAGCCCGAAAGCAACACGGAGGCCAGGCAACACACCCAGCCACGTGCCATAACTGCCATCCGGGCGCCTGCTTGTTCCATCGTGTGAAGTTTTTCGCTCCTTTCCCCCGCTCCAGCCGCTCACGCTCGCCCTGCGCTTTTTGCAGCTGGGCCTTCGAAAAGGAAGGAGGATGGTGACAATGTCTGTCTGAAAGGTGTGATGAAAAGTCCGATGGCTTCTGACTCCCTCAGTGTCCCTGGAAAGAAGATTCACCCTTTTCCTCCTGTTTTTGTTCTTGTTCAGTGGCAAAACCTCCAAAAAAGATGCTTAGTATATTGATGTATATTGTATAGGATTAAAGGTCCTTATCTATGGTGGTTCTTTATTTCTTTACTTTTGGGTAGGGCTTGGTCAAAGCACCGAAGAAACCGAAGGTCGAAGGATCTCGCCTGGTAAAGCCGATCCACGGCGCGCAGCACGTGGCTGGGCAGGGCTGGGAGAGCCTGGCGCAGCGTTCGGACCCTAGGGAGGGCCTACAGCCCTCACGTGCTCAGTATGTAGTTCAACTTGGTGAGAACTGTGGAAGATCTGTGGAAGATCTGGAAAACTGTCTTTGGGAGAATTGTTCTAAATTCTCTTGACTTCAGGATGGGCATGAGACGCCATGAGTCATAGTGATTCAAGACTTGTAGACCCGAAAAAAGCACCCGAAGCTATAAGATTCCATGGGATACACGAGAGTGGGGAACTTCCCAGGACTCCCCGTGAGGTTCCACAGGCTGGCAGGAACGTCTCGTGTGCCAGGAATCTCTTGCGTTTCAGGACCCAGACTCACGGCAACACATATCGTGGAGCTTCAAACAGGGTTCGATGTGAGCTTAGCCAACTAGGCTCCACGCCTTCCTTGGCCATGCGAGCTCAGCCAGCTCCACCTCCCTTGCCATCTCATGGGCGCGGCCAAACAGCTCGAGGCGTGCTGGTCCCCAGGTGCTATGAGGTGCTGGTGCACGTGCATCTCGATCAAGAGCTAGGCAGCTTGGCTCTGAGGACAATACGGCAACAACTACACTGCCATAAATAGTATTTTCGTGGCACTCAAAATTGTTAGTCTGACTCTGACACTCTCCTCCACCAAAAGAGTCACAAGGTGACTGCCGACCTTTTACTGGCTTGGTGAATCAGATGGCGCCGAGCAAGCGACATGGGCAGGTTGCATGAACCGCTCGGAGTTTCATGTCTTTGATCCAAATCGATTAATCGGTATGAAGGGCTCAAAGCTCTGGTGTACACCTGCCGTTCCAGCAGCTGAGCCACACCAAGCGGACAAAGATCAAGCAAGTCATCATCATCCTTCCAGGAGCTTCAAAGCTTGGGGGTGGAGGCTTGTGCCGCTAGGTGTTCACCAAACAGACCTCCAATCACTCCTTCGAAAGGCGGTCGAAAGGCGGTCCAAAGGCCGTCCGTTCGATGAACGGAGACCTTTCCGTGAGTGACCCGGTATGGGACACTGGGGCGACCGGAGATGGAGTCATTCTCGAGTCACTACAGGACATCGACCCAGGGCTATCCTGTACTGTAGATCTCGTAAGCAAAGTGTGTATGCACCATGTGCCAAATCTCACCGCCTGCCTGGCTTCGGTCATACTCGGCCGTGGCCTGGAACCGATCATCGGAGATCGCCCGAGGATCTTTGGTGTTCAACAGAGGTAAGAAAAGGGAGTTTGGGGGGGGCACTACTTGCAACAGGCTTCGCATGGCTTGACCAACGCCATCAGCAGCTATGGATTGCGTTTCGACCACGGGAGGTTCTTGAGTTCGGCACTCAGGTTGCTACGAGTTGGCGCCTGCGCTGACAAAAAGCACATGCCCCTCAGCCCTCCCATCGGCTCATATTTGGGTCAGCCTCCAAACAGTCCAGCACCGAAAGCCCCATGCAATACTATCCTTATATCATGGACCGTCGTAGGAGAGCCTGTGTTGCTTGGGGAAGGAGTGGCTGCAATCGGAACCGCCGTGACCGAGTTCCCGCGCCGCGACCGACTCGGCGGTTCCGCCGAGCGCCTCCGAGACTGGCTGGGAGACCCCGAGGCTGCAAGGAGCACCTCCGACCTTCGCGAGTCCTAGCAGGTCACTGCCTCCAAACCCGCGAATGGGTTCAAGCTGGTTCAAGATGTCAGGTTGATGGGATTAAAAGAGACGTACATGCAAAGCAATCCAAACACATCAATCCCGTTCTCCCAGCTTGGTTGCACCGCATTGGAGCCACATCTCAAGGAGTTGTGAGTGGGTACCGGGTGCGAAATGGTTATGCTCAAAGGCAAGGACTCCAATATCGCAGGGTCCACAAAAGGGTTCACATATTCGGATTCAAACCAAGGATTTACCGTATCTATCCAATGTCTATAGGATCTGGTATTGTGACTCCTCCTCAAGACACTTGGGATGGATCATGAAGGATCAATCGAGGGGAGTAACGAATGATACTCTGAGGTAAGTCCACCACCCCACCCTGACAGCAACTTGACCATTGATGACGAATGATGTTGACCTCCTTCCGAACTCCACTCTACAGTTGTGGGATGCGGTGGGCATAGAGCCACGCCGCATATCTATGTGCACAACATATTTCTCGGCAAGAAGTCCCAAAAAAATGCCGTGGTCTCAGAGCACCTAGAGAACCAAGAACCCCTACAAATGTCATACCCTGAAAATACACGAGGTGTTCAAAGAAAACACGAGTTTTGTTGACTTCCTCAAAACGATACGATTGCCTTCGGGATTCTACGGGTTTCTACGCATTTCTACGGGCTCTCTACGGTTTCTATACGGATTCGAAACTTAGTGCTTTTGGGAAAACGAGGTTTCGACAGAAACACAATGTTTAATTATAAGTCAAGTGGAGCCAAAACACGATGTTTTCATATGCTTTCCATCAGACACGACAAATTCGTAGGTTTGGGGTTCCATAGGTAGAGTAGATGGCACAATCTCCAGAAGGTTGTTTGGATGGACCCGCATGGACAAATATAGACATGTGGGGCTTTGTGCCATCTGAAACCACTGTACATCCTTGGGAGTCCAACACCCTCAGAAAATGGGCCGGACAACTGGGCGATTCAGCGGCGAACGCGTGGTTCTTCGCTCGCTTTCGCTCCTCCTCGTCGTCGAAGTCCACAGGATCCGCGTCTCGCTCCTGGGCGAGTCACCGCGTGACAAACTCCCAGTGCGGAGGATGTGCTCAAGCGGTGAAGGGCAACCGCCGTTCGGAGTTGCCTTACCAAAAATACAAAGGACTTTCAACCCTTTCACCTCAAACCAGTTGAATATGATCAGTCACGTCCCTCTTCCATCCTCTTCCATGAGCACCTACTAGGCGCCATCCAAGTGTCAAAAGGTCCAACCGAAGGCAAATCCAAAGTATCTAGAGCGACGTCGTCCTGGTAGTCCATATTCTCTCCGCCCCCCATCAACGTATCCAATAAAAACGTGTTTTCTTTATAGATATGATAGCATATAGTCTTATAATATTACAAAAATAGTAATATTTATATATATATATAATAATATATATATACATAGAGAGATTGCTATACAGTACTACATCCTGCCCCCACCCCCAGAAAAAGGGACCTGACTGTCCCCATCCCATCACTCCTCGGACTCTTCAAGGTCCTGTTCCTCCCGGCACTTGGGGTTGGTGTTTGGACGGAACTGCGGAAAGGGTCTGGCCTGTGGGGGAGCTGAACAAGCGACAAGCATGTTTGGGAGAAACATCTGATCTTTCCTATTGCAGGTTTGTGGCGCTTTGCTTTCTGTATATATAGAACCCAGGCCATTCAAGGACCAGGCTTTGATGTGGGGCAGGTTTGTGGTTTCGCACCCAGGAAAGACATAGCCACTGCCAAATAGGGAGGGATCATTCGGAGGTCAATGTGTGAGCACAACCGCCGGAGTTGAGCACAGAAACGAGCAGGGGATGTTGTTTCCTTGAAGCTCCATTTTGGGTTTCCATGCAAGTCTAGCTAGACACGAGCACAAACTCAGACTAGGACTAGGAGGTACAAATGAGATGCTGGCTACGAGCGTTTAGGGCAACCACTTCCATGTCTGGATCTGCTGATAGCACCAGCAAAACAGCACAGCGTTCCAATCTTTTCATCCTTTGCTGTGCCCCTCCTCCTTCGCCAAATGAATCCTCCTTCCCGATCTAAGAACGACACGCACCATGCATCTCTTTCGTGGGCAAGTTTGCAGCAGACACGGTTCAGTGAAGCGGATCAAGCGTGTCAGCTGGCAGCGGCCCCCGCCATCGCGCCTCCTCGACCTCGTCCGAAGCACTGGGCTCCTCGGTCCACAACAGTCCGGGTGAACTGGGGACCTTTGGGGCCAGAATCCGAAGATCTGGGTGAAGCCTCAATGCCACCGGTGGTTGCAGGATGTTAAAAGCTTCTCCAAGCCATACCCCTCCAAGACGATCCCCACAAAAAAATGATACCCCGATGATTGGCACCTAAGAGGGTCCAAGGCCTCACGACCGGAGCGGTCCTCGATGACGCGCCGGGCGTGAAGAGTGGGCGCATCGCGCCGCGCCTGTAAGCGCCTGAGGGCGGCCGACAGTGGCTGTCAGTCATTCCTCTCTTGGGCATGGCATGGCCGCCAGAGTTGGTGTAGTGTGTGTCTTGTGGGGCCACCTTTCATTTCATGTGACGCAAAGTGCTCGGCGACAAGCTCAGCGTCTTGCTGTGCTGAATTCTATTAATTACGTGCAAAGTAGTCCGGACCGGGTTCCTGCAACCGCTGATCTTCAAACGTCAGCACTAGGTCACGGAGCCACTTCGTGGTCTCCAGGAACTCTTCGGTCCTATTTGGTAACGAGTCCAACCATAGCTTGAAGAGGGCCGCACCAAAGGAGCAAAACTCCGGAGGGTACTCCTTCAAGTGAGTGGTTTTCCACTTGCCATCTTTCAAGCCGATGTTGGACCCTTGGGCACAGACAGGGTTGCGCATAGCCCGCTCACACTGCGCAACCCTGTCGTAGTCAACTCCAGCAAGCATAAGGGTCGTAGGTTTGGGGCTGTCCGCGCCAAAAAAAACCTTGGAACACGTCCAAAAAAACCACCAAACGAGCCTCATGCAACCAACGAACCACTTGAGTCATCCAAATGGAAGGTGCTTTGGAGTGACGTGTCCCTCTTTTGTGGGGATTTTCGGGGTGTTCAAGCCATGCAAACCCCCCTGTCAAAGCCTGAAGCAGAAGTGCTTTAAGGCAAAACAGCATCAGGGTATTCCCGATGGAAACTTGTTGCCCTTCCCTTTTGGAAAGATTTCCTAAGCCCCACAGCTCTGGATCACACCTAATCGGTCGTGGACTCCTCCTAATAGTGTCCGGGGCAGGTTCCCAGCGAGCTATACTCCACGACTCACATCCTCCATAGAGTCCAGCAACAAAACCACCCCTGATGAGGTCATACCAGATCTTCTGTTGGTGGCTTTGCGAAAGGTCACATCTGTTTGGGTCGATCGCCACGTCGACAGAGACCACTGTCATAATGACTCCCTGAGGGAGTGGAAGCTGCTCTAGTTCCATCTGGATATCCCTTTCTCGCCTTCTGCCACTGAAAAGATGGAGAATGATCAGTTCTTGCGGCAAGAAGCTTCGAAGTCTAGGGGGACCCTGCGTGCAGGATACCCTTTTGCGACCCTCTTCATCAGCAAAGATCATTTCGTCCTCTCTGGTATCATGGAGTGTGTTGTCCTGCTTTTCAAACTCCTGCAACCAAAGAAGTACTTTCTGACCTGCCTGATAAATTCGTTGATCAGTCTCAGCAACCTCCCCCAGCCAGTCATGGAGCACACCACAGATCTTCTGGAAAGGTGCTGCAACACGGCAGGCCTCTTGGAGTGCCTCAAAAAGTGCGGTAGAAAACTCATCATCTTGATCTGGGCAGTGAAAAAGGGTGACCGCCTCTTGAAGTCTATGTCGAATCAACTCAATATCCCGAGCAGGATCAAACAGTCCCTGCCTGGTTTCAGTTGACAACTTAAACCATGGAAATTGTGGATGATGCGACAATGCTCGAGGTGGCGCTGGTAAATTCTGCCCAAGTCGTCTGAAATATGCCCTGCAGGAAGCACTGTAGCGAAGATGATGTCGAAGACGCTCTGTAGTCAGATACACTTTGGCACAGCAAAAACAAGTCTGACCTTGTGCTACTGCACTAGATTCGCTTATATAGCCGTGCTTCTGGGATGCATGCAAGACCCACCCTTGCATGGCGGTAAAGGAACGTTCACAGATAGTGCAAATATGTGCACCACATTTGGCTTGCCTCATCTGACTACAAAGATTATGTTGGCGGAGAATGTCATGAATCGAACGATGTTCCCTCGCAACCTCAGCTGAACGAATTCTGGCCTGCGTTCCGCGAAAGAGGGCCGTTCGTCCAAAACGCGACCAGAGTGCCGGCTGTCTCGCGAGATGAAGCCATGCCTCGCCATTCAGTAAATCATGAATGACACTATAAAACGTGTACATTGGTTCATGTTGCATCGAGAATTCCTTTTGCAAGAATCTACGAAAGACATCATCTGCCTCTAAGAGACTAGGAATCGTGCAGCTCCCCTTTGAGGAAGGGAGGTCTGCAAGGGCTTGTTGGAAAGCATCCTCCGCCCTATCAAACTCCAGCTGCCATGTAGTATGCGATCCTTGCATCAGTGACGAAAGATCATGATCATAGCCGCCAGTGTCTCCATTCTGTTTCAACTGCAGAATTTCTCTCATGCTCCGCACTATCATCACATGTGGTGCTGCCCTCGGAAGTGTCATCCGGTTCGATTTCAGTCATTCGAAGAAGAATTCCACATACAACGGCACAAATTGATGCCATTCAAAAAAAGGTAGCTCCACATCGTAAGGTGCATTCATTCCTCCAAACACACTGATTTTGGGGATTCACTGCCGCAAAAATCTGTTAGACCGAAAGCCAGTTCTGGGCCCGAAAAAACAAAACTGGCTTGCCGGACACTGGTGCTCATCTCATACTCAATTAAGGCCGGCACCAGCCCCACTCCAACATAAGTTGTGACAATGAAATGTGGCTCCGGTCCTCTCCCACTACTTGGGGTTGGCCAGACAGGAAAGATATAACAAGCCCTTCGACCGAAGGCATGAACCCACCTGCTACGAATATTGTGTCCAAGTGGCAAATCAGGGTTATGCGTCACAATCCTCAGATCCCTTTGCGTAGCATGTATGTGTTCTGCATGGTGCATCCAAGTCAGAACATCATATCGGATATTGCCACCTAGAACACGACGAACATGACGAGTCAACATGTCCTCCATGATCGGCCGGACTTGCATCAGAAAGTTGGAATCTTGGAGAGGATCAACGTCATCAGCATACGACAGCCTCTGTTCGATAAGCTTCGAATCCATGCTGGGACAGCTATCAACTCTCGACACCTCAAAATCAAACGTTCGACCTTCACCGAATGTCAGCCAATCATGTCGGCCATAGAACTGACCGAGGCTAGAGTACAGGACCCTCATTCCATCCACCAAATCTCCCGGGAGGGAATCCTCCAAAAGAATTTCATCGAAAGGAACCGAAGTTTGCAGGCGGCGCGACTGCAATGCACATCCCTGCTCATCATCAACATGCCATTGAGATAATACAGGAGTGCCTGCAAACTAGGCCACAAATCGATGATCAGGTGAACTTGTCCATTGGGAACTGCACTAGTAGGCTGAGGATCAACGAGAATTAAAGAAAACGATTCTCGGCGGTCCAAATGCCCATGCCAAAGCCTCTCGATTTTGGATTGCAAACCTGGAGCTATCCCCTTCTTCTTGCCATACACAGTAATCGTTTTCGTAGCAATGTGTCTTCCTTTCAATCCATGAAAGTACAGATGCACATCCGAGAATTGTGCCTGCCTTTCTTTTATTTGATTCCAAAAAACGATCCGGAAGAGCATCAACTTTGGACGTGTCAAATTGCTGTGTAGGACTCCGGTATCCACCTGCATCAGACCACTGGCTTCGATGATAACTTTGCATTAACATCATTTCATCAGATGCAGGAGCAATCCAAGAATCTTGCAATAAATCCAATCTTGATAAGGGGTGATAGGCCAGAGGGTATGAGCCACCAAGCCCTCTTGTTAGGCGCCCATCATCACCCTTAGCGCCATCCGTCATCCGTGCATTGAACAAAATTGGCCATGAAGGGACAACACTTAGTGGCTGTCGCCTGGCCCAAAAATGTTGAGCTCGATCGAAACCAATGGCTTCATCACATCTCCGTGCCTGAGAAAGCGGTGCGTGCCGCAAGTCCCAAGAGCAAAAGCCTTCTATGCTGCTGTCAGCGCAGCTGTGCTCCAGTGAGCCTCCACAAGGCAAAGAGAGGTTCACATATGATCGCCAAACGGAAAACAAGTGCACAGAATAAGAGCACGTAGTCCCCAACCTCCATAGAGAAAGCGAGATCGGCAAGCAGTGGTCCCTTCAGCCCCATGCAACAAAGGAATAGAGCATCTCTGTTGCGCAAAAGACCATACACGCTTACCAAGGAGACCTCCGAAGACAACACGAAAGGACAATGACGATCCCTTTTGGATCCAGATGAGGATATGCACGCCCCATGCTCGTTGCGACATTGACCCCTCCAGTTCAGCTGTCTCAGCCATAGAAAGAAGCATGTTCAATACCGTGAAAGTGCACCCAATCCAGAGTGCAAGGTAATGAGCATGATGAATCAAAACTCGAAAATGGCTATCACCTGCCCAGCAAAGGATGCTCTCTCTCAAGATCATTTGGAGTTCAACAGTCCAAAGCACCAGTAGGCTAGCCAATAAGAAGGCAAAGAACGATGAAGCCATACAAGCCATAAGGATCCCATACAGACTTCCTTCTTGCCCCTCCACACTCATACCTCGGGGAAACTGTGAAGCTTCTTCATCACGAAGACCCGGTCCACAGGTAAAAAGGGATTCGCCAATGCAGCTTTGAAAAAAAGCGCAAAAAGCTCCTCCAAGGACAAAACTGACCTCATTCAAAATGGATTCCACAGTGCTGCTTTGAAAATGAGCGCAAAGTGCATTCCATTCACCAAACCATATACATCCTGCAACAATCTCCATGTATGTCGAACATCTTGAGAAAATCGGAAAAGGTCCAAGATCCCATCCACTGGAAAAGGGACAATCTCAAGCATAGACACATAGAGGGCATGTAGGTAAGAAATGACCGTGCTGCCACTTGAAAAGGCGCCCAAGTCAAAATCTTGCCCCTCATAACTCATTCCATTCCCCCCAAAGTACCACGAGCAGCTGATGCATCCGGAGTGATACTTTTCCTTTCCTTCTTGGGCTAGGTGCCGGCAAAGATCTCTTGACACCCCCTTTTCCCGAATTCCAGAAGGGTTGTAGAGGTCCACGAATTTGGCAAACTTGTAACTCCTCCAGATCCGTGTCCAGCGGTAAGCTTGCCATTTGCACCAGGCATTGCTGTACCAAAATCTCCACCTGAACAATTGAATTGTACTCCTGCGGAGCTGCCTGTATTATGGCCAGCACACTCTCCTTTTGCTCGGTCGAAAGGGCTTTCATGGCATACTCCAAATCCGCTTGTGCAATGAGAAGCGCTCCATCCTTGAGTGCCGTGGGATCTTCTGGAGGGGCACAAACTCCTCCTTCCTTCTTTTTGAAGTCCTCGAATTCCACTGAGCTCAAACGATTGGGTCGACGAGGAAGTTGTGGCGAGCTTTTTGTCGTAGGAGAGGGCGCACGAATGCCCCCCACCAAGCTCACCACTTGCTGAACTAGCTCGTTGTTCCTCTGCTCCATGGACTCCATAAAATAGGACATGTTTTGTACCTGCCGACGAACTTTGACCAACTCTTCGGCTAGCTCTGATGTGTCGACTTCTTCTGCAGAAGCATTGTTCATTTCTGCATCTTTGGTTGTGTCCTTGTCGTCGTCCAAAGCTGACATTTCCTCTCGGAGTTGCTGAAGCTCTTGTGCATGGCGATGATCTTCTCGCTTCAGTCCTTCCATGATGCCACTCTTCCATCTCGAGTAACGGTCCTCCCGTTCTCGAACGGCTGCATCGATCTTCTCCTTCTTGGTCAAGACTTTCTTTTCGCGATTGAGTTCCCGTTGTTTCTCTCGTAGAGTCTCTCTCGGGTTCTCCTCGATCATCTTCTTGGCTTCTTCTTCTATGCTTCCATCCTCCGGGGTTTTCTGAGACAATCGCTTGACCATATCCTTCAACTTCCGGCTCTCCTCTTGCAATGCCGAAGCTTGCGAGGTAGACCCAGATGAAGAGGCACCACCAAGCGAAATGTCGACTTTTCGCCCATCCCAGGAATAGAGCACAAACTCCTCCTTGGACTTCTCTTTCTCTTTCCCCTTGGCCTTGGTCTTTGGTTCTGGCTTTTTGGCATCCTTCCAGGAATTTTTCCATTCCTCCGCCCTCGCATTCCATCGGCCCTGCTGTTTGCCCCATGTCATGCCGTGTCGCACAGCACCGTAGACAGGTCGGCTGTGGTGTGCTTGCAGGAGTCGGATGCACCTTGCCAGCTTGCAGGATTGAACAAAGGTCAAACGAGGACGTCCTCGACAGAACCAGATGTATCCCCGCGCCAAAGATCGCTTCTTTCGAAGCTTCCTGTGCCAAGTGGGACTGCGCCGATGCCCAACTATGGCTCGACGCACCGGTGCGACTCAAAAAAGAGTCTGGGGTCCGGAGTCGTTCCGTGACCTAGTGCGATCACAGCTATCTCTCGAGCCCTGTGGGGCCACCTGCCCAAGAGTGAAATGCTATACAATTGGATGATGAGGAAGTTATTCAATGAGGTGCCGTTGGTCCAGTTGGTTCGGGTTCGCGCGGCGTACATAACAGGAAATCAGTGACAAGGGCCTTCTCCAGCTGGGCCCGTTCGTGTGATCAATAGCCAAGGGATGTCAACACTAACGCATCAGCCATAAAAATACACCTGCATATGGTGTGTATACTATGGCAGGACCCAAAAAAAAAAACATGGAGGCCCACTTCTGTGCCGCGGGTGTAGCAAAACACACACCTGATGCAGGCTCTGCTCCATCTACTTCAGCCATCCACCTAGTGACCTTGCGCTCCTCCACACGGTCGAAAACGAACGCATCCCCCCCTGCATCTCCGGACGTCGAATGGTGCATATCTCACCACCCCCCCAACCTTCGAATGCGCGCAATGACGTAGATGGGCGCAGGTTCAGCGATCTGGGTGTCCCGGACACCCCGACTGGTGAGGAGGTCTCTGATGGCACGCGTCTCTCCTTTTGCGGCCAACGAACGAATGCAGCTGGTGGAGATTTGCAGGTGGGCAAGTGAATTGGTTTGCTTTGGAGGCTGGCCCAGCACAAGGAACTCCAACTGCGCAGCAATAGAGAATCACCTTAAGAGAAGCCCCAAGAAGGGTATTCCCCTTGACTTCCCTTCATGTCTGAACTGCCCCACCAGAACTCCCGAACCGAGAACAAAACAGCACACAGCCTTCGATCAATTGATCCGTTCGAGTCTGGAGGGCCCTGTCCTTCAGCCGCACGGTGGGCGGGACCGGCGGTTGTGCGACCAAGTCCCTGGGGCGAAGGACGAGGAGCTGACACCAACTGTTGGTGAAATGGTGACAGTCCATGGGAAGGAAGCCCGACCATTTTGAGCAAAAATGTGTTTGATGTTCACCACCTGGACCAATCTGGACCAGAACATGAAAAAAAGCAACATAGGTCATAGGTGAAGCATGGTGAAGCATGGTGAGGCTCCTATTAGAAGTCAACTCTTTGGCGCTAAGACCGGTCTTTCAAGATACCAACCAAAAGTATGTACAACATCTCCAAGAACTGGAGAGGTGACCCACCGCCTGAGGCCACGTTGAAGGAGTGAAACAGGAGGCTCCACCTGACAGGCTTGAGACGATACGTCCACCGGCTTGCCACGATGCGGCCACTCCACCCAACCCTCCCTGAAATCATCATGAAATCAAGTGGAGTGAAAAGCTGTTTGGTCTTGATTCTCCGAACTCGGGGCCATGCCATCCAGCTTGGACCCTGATGATTTCAGGGAGTGCACCTTTGCTTCGAGCAATCCCCACCCTGAGAGGCGATGTGAAAAAGTTTTTGCTGACTGGAGGGTGGGTCACTTATATACCTGGTCGAACGCTTCTTTGTGTCAAACGGGCATGCGGCAAGCCCGTTCGACTCACGACGTTCGTGGCCGGCTCGCCGGGGGTGGATGTGAAGGCCGCACATTTGCTGCTTCATCCCCAAATCCGTGCGGTCTCAATCTACTTGGGAGGTGCCCACTCAAGATGCTGGCTAAAACCGAACCCAGTGCAAAACAATGTCTGGCATTCGGCATGGGCTCGCTGCTTCGCCCATGCCGAAGGATCCATTTCGCATTCGGTGAGCCAATTCTTTGGCGAACAGCACCCTCCTTCTCTAACAAACAGAAGCCGTGAACTGGGAGGTCGGACAGCAAGACCCAGTAAACACGTGGCTCCACGTCCGCTGGTCGAAGTGAAGCATGGCCCATTGAAGGACTCTTCTCCGAAGACCACCCAAAGGTCTTCAAGGTCTTCCACTTCCATGGTGGAACGGCGAGGTGAACATGCCCCTGCCACAACACTCATACCATCATAACAGACTCCGTGCTTGGTCCTCTATGGAATTACTATCAGGTGACTCTATAAAATGCCTTCTGACTCTATAAATGCCTTTTGAACCCTCATTTTATAGAGACCTGTTTTGTAGTGCTGCCGGATCATTTGACAGCATTTTACAGAGAGGCTGTTTGTTGGTTTTAGTGGTGTATTTTTTGCAACCTGGCAAGAGCATTTTGTAGAGGAGTGGAGGGCTGACAAACGCATTTAGCTTGAGATCTGGATTTGCGTTTCATAGAGAACATGCTGTGAGAGCATCTGGGTCTGGTTTTGCATCTTAAAATTAATTTAGGGGTTGACATATGTGACAGCGATAGCAGCCGATAGCACCTGGCAATAACATTTTATAGAAAGAACATGTGTGCAACATTGTATAGAGGGGCGGGTAGATCCTTATCCAAAGCCATCAGGATGCATTTTCAAGTCTGCTGGATCTGACTAGGCATTTTATAGAAACACCTGTGCCAGTCATGTTATAAAGAACTGATCCTTTGCCACCTATTTTATAAAGACCATTTCTCTATAAAATGCCCGCCTAATGACTCCAGTGTCTAAGCAAGGAGGATATCATAACTACAATCTCAAGCAATCTCATATCATCTTGCATCCAATCGATCTGTTTTTGTTGCGTCTCAGGGAAAACCATCGAAGACATGATGTCTGCGACGTCTCCCATGTATCGCCACCGCCTTGCGGCGCTCGAGCGGTGCGCTCCGGGGCGCCAGGAGCACCTGCTCAACGGTCGGCGGGGAGAGAGGTTCCTGGTGACGCAGGGAACACGGAGAGTCAACAAGGCGGGGCTCCTCTCTGAGCTTTGACTAGTGACTAGTGACTAATACACCTCCTCCCCAAGTTTTTGGGATTGAAACACCTCTTCATATTCTTCAGAAATAGGGAAGGGAAAGGATGGGAAAGGCCTCTATTGAATGGTTTTGGGCGTGGGGTGAGTCATATATATAATGTCTAGGATGCCCACCAAAGGGCGAACAGTTCCGCAACCACATCGGACATTTTTGAGGTGACGTGTTTGGGACGTATTATAATGGAAGTACTACCGAAACACCTCCACAACGAAAACCTTCGAAGGGCTGGAAATGGTGATATAATTAATTGTGATACTCTTCGTTTCCTCTGCAACGAAGTGTGGTCATGTGCGGTCCTATGGCCAGTCCCTGGTTCCGTGCGTTCATTTGGTCACATTTTCCAGCACGAGTCATGGGCGACATCCCTTCCCAAACACTCCGTAAAACCTGTATACTGTATATTTGCATAGAGAAAGGTGTGGTTTCAGGGGCCAATGCACGCATATACATGGAGTGTCTGGGATCTGTAGGAGCGAGAAAGCTGCGCTCGACACATCTCCACTGCTTTTCTTTTTATCTCTGTGGAACCCGTCGTGATGGTTCCTTGCGATCCTCCGTGGTTCAGGATTCTGGGGTTGGATTTGGGTGGACTCCCAAAAGGATCCCGGAATGATGCCAAGCATCACAAACAAAAAAACCAAAGCAACCAACATCTGTCACAGGGGTCGATACTTCTGGGGATTCTTTGAAGATCCAATTGGCAAATATGTTGAAGATGTTGCAGGTTGAAGTCAATGCTCAGTAGCTTGATGGTCTATTTTGGAAGGTTGGAGGTGGCGTCCACTGTGATATGCATGGCGGTTGTTCTTCCCAGGCGCAGATGGCGGCATGAAAAGCCACTCAACACCCATTGCCATGTCAAACTAGATATGTTGGTTTTCTTCTCACATGTGACGTATGCCGCCGATGCTGCGTATGTAGGGAAATTGACCAACCTGCGGATCAATCAGCTGAGCAACCCATGCAACCCCCCTCACAAATGGACCAGGGCCTTGAAAGAACAACAAACACCATGCCGCATGCCCCTAATTACACCTACCGACCATCCCGAAGTAACCTCCATCAGTGTTGGTCTTGGATCTGTGCCCTCTTCCCAACAGTGGCCGAAGCCCAAAGCACCTTGTTCTCCAAGCTTTCACCTGCGCCCATGGACCGATTCGCCGAGTCCTCGAAATCGAGCTGCATGACTCGACCCAGCCTTCGCTCCTGGATGATATGACGGCATTTGACAGCCCTTCCAAATCGATAGCCCGTCCTGAAACCCAAGAACTGGCATTTCGTTAGAAGGAGATCGGGTGGAGTGTGGGCCAAGACCTGGACGGCGTCCGTGTGTGTTACATCTGGACAATGCAGCTCTGCGTGGATGCGATCCCTTGGAAATTTATGTTTTTAACAAGCGAACAAAAGTAATTCAATGCAAAAAAACACCAATGTGAATCACTCCGGAAAGCAAAAAACTGTTGAAAGTGAACGAAGAAAAGGATGAGCAAAGACCGTATTGAACATTGATCTGTCTTTGGTTTACGTTTTAGCATCTTTCAATGAACTGCTTGTAGAAATTGCTTTTACATTCCACTTCAGCGCATGTTGTTTTAGCATTTGTTGCTGGCAGTTCTTTGGAAGTTCTGGGCCCTTCTATGATCCGGCTTCCTCAAATCAATCTACAAGGTGCCTTCAGATTCACTTCGACTGTCGACTTGGTGTGCACCACCCTTCTCACCCTTCTCACCCCGCGTTCCACCAGAGCGGGTTCACCAGTGCCTGGCGTCTTGCGCGGCAGGAGCTTCACTTCCACCTCCTGGCCTCGTTCCGACGACGAGATGAGTGGTGTCTAGGTGCGGATGGGTTCCACGTCTGGGGGAATTGTCCAACATGTTTTGTACGACAAGGCCAAGCGCTCTACGAAAGTTCCTGATGTTACATATGATTACAAATGTTGGAGCCAATCAGCCCATCCTTTCGAAGGGGATGGGATCCTGGTCAAATTTAGAGGAATCTAGCTGGGGGATGTACTCCCATTCAAAAGCAATGGAACAGAGCGCCCCGTAGTGCAAACATCTCTCAAAGTCAAGAAGGAAGTCGTCACTCAAACTGCTCCTTTGTTCGCTTCATCACCATCAGCTTCACCGTAGAAGGTTATATAGGCAGTTCAATCAAGACGAGGGTGACAGATGACTTCCGTTGATTAAACAAATTTTTCACCATATACCCTGTGAGCATTGTCCCTGAGCCGAGTTGAATCATAACTGCCATGCTGCGAAGGCCCCAACATATTGGTATAATTGCCGAATTTGTTAAGCGGCCATTGACTGCAGAAGAACACCTGTCTCATTTTTGTTTTGCGCCTGTCCATGCTTCAACGGGACCTGCCATGGGCCTCCATTGGAATAGGAATCCAATGGTGATCCAGCTGAATCGAACATCTCCCCAACCAAAAAAACATAACAACCAAATGGTGGGCTCCATTCCGTGTTGTTCAAAACACCGACCATACCTCACATGCCTCATCCTTTGCATGGTGGAAGCAAGCTCATCCTGCTCGGGGACCCGTGCCGGATGAAGGCACGGAGCGTTCTTCCCCGCCCAGGGCACCTGGAAGAGCCTTGGTGATTCCCCGGGCTCCGGCAGTCCGAGGAAACGACCAAGTCTCATTCAAGAAATGGTGACCAGGGCAGAACGGACCGTGGGAGACTTTTTGATCGCCAGAAAATGGAGCTGAAGATAGAAGACTTGCATCTTGATCTTAGTTAGTCCTTGATCTTATGTCTGCAAATGCTTCATGTTCCATTCGCTTCTACAAGGTGCTTGGTGGTCTCATCTGCTAGTCGTGTGTCGTTTCTTCCCTCTTCCGGACCTGAGACTCAGAGGCCGAAGCACCAAGGGACGTGCTTCGTGGCGCTCCACATGTTCAGCTAAAGCTTCTTCCAAGTAAGTTGGCTTGATGAGCATCCATCCACAACCAGTTCGTTACTTTTGAGCTTGATTGGAGAATGGCAAATCCTTGGATGTTTGAGGCAAGCCTCTAAGTAAGTAGTACAAGACGATGGGACGGAGAAATGCTGGCATCTTCTTGACATGGTTAGACCCCTTGCGATGTGTCCGAACACACCACTGAACCTATGCCCTATGTCCCTATGTCCCCAAAACTGTGTGATGCCTGAGAAACTCAGACTTTGGACTCCAGCATGGGATATTGCATGATAAACCTGGCCACCATGGGTGACAACATGTCCACAACTGGTCACGAGAAAGCAGTCCACCGCGTCCACCCTCAGCGTCCACGGCGCGCCTCGCACCCGAAAAAAGAAAAGGAAAAACACACACACTCAGCTGCAGGCTTGCTCCAGCCTGAGCGTGCGTGGCGGCTGAAGAACCATGCACCACGCACTCTTGGCGCAAGGCAAGCTTGGTGTAGAAGCCCAGCAGGAAAGCATGGAATATTCACAAGTGACGGTGGCCGTTCTACCAAATCTCTGCGTCATAGTCACCTGCTCCTTCCAGCCGCTTTTAGGTTGAAAGAAATTAAGATCCATCCGACCCAAGGTCCGAGAAGTCTGAATACAACCTCCGGGCCCGGAGTGATCTGTTTGAATCTGTTCGTGCGAAGTGACACGACTTGGAGCGGAACAGACACGTGGGGGGGCCACAGCCATGTCACGAGAAATGAATGAATTCGACCACAGCCATGGCTGTCGGGGCTGGAGGCTTTGTGAGCGCAAAAGAATAACAGGAGTTACGGATTGTCTTACTATTGTACACCAGCAGTTAGAATACACTTTTCTATTTAAAAGCAAAGAGAATAGTCTATCTTGTGGTGAACTATTGTAATTGATGCACTTACCTTCCAGAAACAGCACCCTGGAATCAGTATATATAATGTTTTTCTTGCTCATTCTTGGCACATGAAGCACATCCTACAAAACCCAAACCTCAAATTGTCTGCAAGGAACACATCATGAGAAGCAACCTAGGCACGTGGACATTTTTGGCCTTAAGTCTGGTTCTGACGGAAACGACCAGGACCATGCCAGAAATCAATGCTACAACCACGCCCCCGGAATTCCAAGCACGCCTTGCTGTGTTAGCGGCTGGAGCGTGTACCATCTGCAGAGCTAATCTCCGTACAAAGAGGACCGGAGAGAGTTCAATGTCTCTTGTTACGGGCCTGTCTTGCTGGCAGATTGCCAGGGGTTCCACTGGTTGGTCTGGCTGGTCCCATTATGAAGAGTGGGAAAACGTCTGCCCTGGCAAACAATCAATTGTCTACCACCTCCTTGAGAGCAGCCATCTCCTTGCTAAGGCTGCCACAAGCGTCTGGCGGCCATAGCAGTCGGTCCGATCGTGCTGGCGAACTGAAGATGGAATGGTGACTTGCAATATTTCTGCAAATGAACTATGGGAATCGGTGGGTCCTTCTGGCTTCTTCTCTATACGTACTTGTTGCCTGTCCATGCGTGCAATTCGGTTTATGTTTTGAACGGGTGTGCTGTCAAGGGGTCAAGGGGGGCCGAACATTCACCCCAAAGCAAGGTCCTTTTGTCTCTTCGTCAATTGCCAGGCCATATAATGTATGCTCACAATGTGACACTCCCCTTCCTGCGGCGGTAGGTAGATACGTAGGTTCCTCGACACTCCCCTTGCTGCGGCAGGTAGGTTCCTCGTTTTAGCAAAGCAGGAGTCTGAATAGCATCGCTAGCCTGTCGCTACAAAACAACAAGAGCTACTGAGCCGGAAAAGCAGCAATGCAAGAGGAAAATTAATGCATATCAAAAGTGAGAGTATTGTAAAATACCTATTCAGGAGGTCGTCTCACCTGAGCTTTTGACCCACAACCGGGGCTTATGCATGTGATTACAAACACACACAAACCGCGACAATCCTCTTTAAAGCAATTACAGAAATAGCAATTATAAACTACGTCTCAACTGCCCCTCTCCAAAAAAGAAGCAACTCCTATATACACCATCTGGAACCCAAAAAGAATACAATCAGCACCCCAACAGAAAAAGCTTCTTACATATCTTATATGCATATATATATATATATCAAAATCACCGCTTGGGGGTGGTGCAAGTTGCACCAGGACCACTGAGTGCCTCATTGGGGAGCAGCCTTGGGGGGGCCGGGCAGTACATGTTCCTGTACAGGGGAACTGTCAACAATCAAGGAAACAAGTTACATCCTGGAGCAAGTAGCAGAAAATAAATAGACAGTAAATAAGGCTACATAGATGCCTCAAAAGCATATTCTGTCTTATCATGTCTGTCTTATCTAACAACTGTCAAGAAACTCCCTAGACAAAGCAAACTATCGATAAATAATTCTATGATTTGACCCCGTAGGTTCCAGCTTTGGAGTAAATGTGCCGACTGGCAATCCATCATTGCTAGCTTGAGAAATACATCCAACTGTTTCCCTTTTCACCTGTTCTACAGGGAGTTCGAAGAACTAAGAACAACTTATAGAGAATGGCTTATAGGGTCATAGGGCCTTGCTGGGTTCTCTAACCAATGACCACACACTTGGGAGTCACTTGGGTCGGCCTCACACGAAAGCCGGAGCCCCACACAAGCACGCACGCACACGTAACCATTCTGCGAACAAGCCTTTTGTCCTAAGCCTGCAAAATTGTGGTTCTGAAGGCTCCCCTAAGCCTGTTGAACAACACACCCATCTCTGAAGCTGCCCCACAGCTCAGCAGGAAATCCTCCAAGCCTGCTCCCCACCAGCGTCACCTTTCCACGCTCCGGCAGTCGCTTTCCGGGCTCAAACGGCGTCCAACGCGGGGTGCCGTCCGACGGGCGCCGCGTGTTCAGCGGGACCCTGACAGTTCCGGAGGCTCGTTTCGGGGCTCCTGCGGAGGGGGCGTGGTGTGGCATGATCTCCGATGTTTCAGCGAGCGAGTGGTAGCGGAGTGGTCGAGCGACTCTCGAAACAGCGCAACCCGTGGCTGGCACTTCTGCTCGTCCTGCTTTGAGCTCGAGACGGGCGCGGGTTGTGCAAGTGCTAGCTTGTCCAAAGGCGCGTAGGGAAGGAGACGAACTAATGCATATTAGGTGTAAAATGTGGAGTGGTACTTGTCTTCCAACCTTTTCCTCCCCTTGCTCATGGGTCTGAAGATGTCTGAAGTCCGTTCATCCTTCTCGAGCTGCTCGCAGAAACAGCATGGCTACGCTATGAGAAACATTCGGAAGTCTCCACCAAGGCCTCCCCCCTTCGCACAGCACGCTGCTGACACGACGTCTCACGTCTCACGTTGAGCCCATCTTCCGAACTCCCAAGGTCCGTAATTAGGCGATGTCGAGGTCAAACAGTCCAATCTTCCTGGATACTATTGGACTGAGGGTCAAACATAGCTGCTATATCAGACAGTGATTCAGTGATAGAGTTCTATAGGCTATAGGTATATAGAGATGTGGTCCCCCCAAAAAAAAAGAGATATGGATTCGGATTGGACTGCTTGATCTCCTGAAAAATTTTTCCTGAGGGTCAAGTCTAGTTGCTGCATGGATGTTTTGGGGTTCGATCCATCTGCTTCTTCAGCCCATACGGCAAGGCACTGCGATGTGCAAGGGGGACTGCCCGCGAGGAGAGCAAGAAACAGCTCAGCATTGGTGCGGAGAAGTGCTCTGGTACGTGTTTCTTGGGGGACATGGCTTGTGGTGCTTGTTCCGAAAACACCAACGAAGCACACAAACAAATGATGGATGTCCCTCCAGCCAACCCGAACAGGTGCCACACCTATGCAGCTCAGACATTGATAATTGTCTTTCCCTTCTGGAGGAATTGGAAGACCTCCTTGGCGACCTCGCACGTGTACTCGAGTTCAACATGCCATACATTTACATGCACCCCGTACTCCGTACCCTATAGTTCGCAAATGTCAGTAGAGAACATTGATTACAGCAAGAGGATGTAAGAGGAGTGACTGGTTCCACCGCGGGCTGATCTTCAATTTGACAAGGAATTGGACATGTGTCTGTACTTCTAATCGAAGTATCCACATCCAAAATGATAAAACTGCATTTAACTTTGGATCAGCAAAGGCGGTGCTACCAGAGCCACAGTGCATAATCTAGCAGTGGGGGTCCACATTGAAGAGAAGCTCCAAACAAACCAGTGCAAACAATTGCAAACATGTGGGTGACCCTTTGCATGTCAAAGAAAGTCATCTGGATATCATCCGGATATATAACGCACGAAGATCGGATTCACCTGAATTTGGCCTCGCAACCTATCACTGACTGTGAGAACAAATCACAACTGACTCAGTCATTCTCAAAGTTTAAACCTCGTTCACCGATCCAGCAAAAAAATGAAACCGAAGGCATCTACCGACATCTGTGCAACATCGTTTTTTTTGCCTGCTTTTGTCGCTCGAAATCACACCAGCGTTCGCCACAGGTGGTTCTTTAAATAGCAGCCACAAAAGCAGGCCTCCACCTTGTCGGGATTCTTGTCAGGATGCCAGTCCCTGAGCCTTGGGTGCGCTAAACTGGTGGAGAACGGTGGAGAACGCGGATGCGGATGGGGCACTGGGACCAACTCACCAGTCAGATTGCCTTCTGAACGGCATCGATCCTTCTAGTGCAGCGTCTAAGTGCTTCGTCTCACAAGCTGCAGGGTTCTACAAGGCGATCAGTGCTGAAGAAACAATTCACAAGAAGGTTTTACAAAGCTGGTGTGGATCCACATCCAGCTAGTGCCGACAAATCATGGATTGATGCCTGCCTAACTTCAACCAACCCTGGGCCTTATTTTCCATCTTTAGGGCAGCTGTGACTCTGACCCTTCACCTCTTGGGCTCCCGACAAGGCTCTCCACTCCTTAGCTCTCGCCTCTTTTGGCTCCAAGGACTGCAGCGCGTTGCTCGGTTCATTCGGTTCACGGGTCCGGGACGAAGACTGGGCCGGGACGAAGATCCGGAATGGACCATGAAGCTGGAAGAATATCCAATGCGTGTAGAACGAAATTCGGATGATCTCACATCATCGCCATCGTCGAACCAGTAGTCCACCGTCCACACCGTCGGGAAACAGTGCGCAAAAGCCGGAGTTCGTCTGATCTCACCTGCAGCTTCCTGAGCTTCTCCAGCGCTTCAAGCTTCGCCTGGAGAACCGCAGAACATCGGCGAAAGCGATTGCGCGATGTCGCACCCCAAAAAAAAGAAACGTGAATGGAGAGTAATTTGATGGCACAATCCCCAAGGTTGGTGCCTGTAAAAAAGAACACATTGGGTTTGTACCATCTACTCTGAGTCCACTCTAGGTGTCCTGTGGCGCTTTGCATCGGTCGCTCTAAAGAACTCGCCGTTCCGCCGGCGCGAACGGGCGCACCTGCTCGATCTCAGGAGTGCTCTTGGCCTTGTCCTTTGAGTTGCCTTTCACCTCCACCTTTTTGGGGCTCCGGCTCCTTGCAGGTGGGGAGCTGCGGCAAGTCACTGCTTTCTTGGCATCGACTGGATCGATCCCAGCACAGCCTGAGAGATCTCCACTTCTTAGAATTGACGGGGAATGACCACTAACATCCACTAACCACTAACCTGCCTATCTAACCTGTCATAGATAGGACTGGTCTATTGGACGAAAGAATCAAAACGCCCTGGTTCTTTCGCTTCACTACGGCTAATCACTGGTCAAATCGCACCGAGGGCTCCTGCTCCTCACCTCCTCGAGACTACTACTGGAACCTCAGCTGCAAGCTGGGGCCTGTGGGCTCTCGGTGGCTGGTACGGTAGCCAGAACTGGTGGTGTGAGATGTGGGGGACACCAGGCTACCACTGCTTCGCCACTGCTTCGCCACTGCTTCGCCAGTGCTTCGCCCGTGTTGGCAAGCGCCTTATTTAAAGAAAAAGACTCAGCCCACATCTGTCCACCAATCTATTGGAGGCATCCTAAACCTCGGCCGCTGTGCCTGCGGCGAGGACCACATGCACTGATGGAGTTGAGCCAGTGTTTGGCCACGCGCCGCCAGAATTGGCGCGTGACGCTTCTTTTCAACAGGGTTTAAGCGGCAGCCCAAGGCTGGTGCCAAACAACATTAGAGGCCTAGTGTGGGATGCCTGGAAAGGATTCCAAGAATCTACCCCAAGAAAAGCAAATCAAGTGGAGATCAACAAACGTTTTCTGAAAAAAATAACACTTTAATGGCAATCCTTTCACGGCCCTTCTTTTTGTCCCCTCTCTCTCTCTCTCGAAATAACACAGTACTACTTGCTGTATGTCCCTTTAATCGTTGAAGTTTCATCAATGCAAACATATATTTGACCTCATCACGGCGCAACAGCGGACGGCTGCATCATATGTACAGTACGGCTGCTTGTTTTGTTCAGGCCCATTGTGTCACAAAGGCATGATGTTGATCCCGCAAACATGCTGCAGGTTCTCACTCACCACCTGCCTCGCCTGTGAGCAAGAGCGGGAAGCTGGCTCCACAATTACCAAGTGGCACCACATGACCTAGAAAGCATCTAAACATGCACAACATGTTGCCAAACAAAGTAAATCCAGCACGTTACACAACCACATCCCACCGAGCCCTCTCACCGAGTCCTTCTCTCCCCCGACCAAACCGGTGAACCGATCGACCTCCACGGTGTACCACGACCAATCGACCTCCACGCATCGCCTTGTCAGGCTCCGGCGGCAGCTTCGCCTTGTCGCAGGCGCTGGCGGAGCTGGTCATCACACGGCGCAGCGCTTGCAGCGCCGGCTGTTGGCCTGGGAGTTCCAATGGGTTCTTCTTCGGTGGGATTTTGGTTGGTACCGAAATGGTGAACCTTTGGGAACTTCGAGGTGTGGCTCTTTTGAAGGGGCCCCGCACCTTATAAGGGACCCCGCCGGCATCGGAAAACCGGTGGAACCTGAAATCTTCGGAAAGCCCCTGTCCTTCCACACGGTGCAGACACCCAACAGGGCCCATTTTCCTGGCTTTGAAGCTCTGTGGCGTGAAGAGGATGGAAAAGAAAGTGATTTGCCAATTCCAAGGGCCACGAGACCACATAAGCACGTCGCATATAATACCTGAGAAGGGGGGGACGAAAGCCAGCAGCCGCCAGATGAGTGTCTCTTTTTTTGGCGGGCGTCGCGGCACACAAGACACATGGTCGGCAGCTTGCGAGTCACCGGAGCTGCGGATGCGGGGGGGGTGTATGTAATGGTGAATCACAGGCAATGGCATGTGTTTGTCACACGCAGGAGGGTATGCATCTTATGGAAGCTGGAGGGCGACATCAGCGTTAGCGAAGGGGCATACCATCTGAGTCCGGCATGGTGGTATACCACGTGCGTGCGCGCGCGCCGCGCGCGCAGGAAGACCTTCTCCATAGTGAGCGCGCGCGCCGCGAGTGTGCAGGAAGACTTTCTCCATGAAAGGAAGCAATTATGTGTTTGTTACAGTTGGAGGGTTTGAAGTTTGCAACGCATACTGCGGCACGTCGAAAAGCGGCATTCGTTGATTTGGAAGAGTGAACGGGCACGTCTTACCGGGACACGGACGTTTGATCCCGCGGCGCAGAAGGGGAGGTCCAGCGCAAGTGGCTTGGGCTAGCAAAGGAGTGAGGATTTGTGTGCCTATCATGCCTGGACTTGAGTGAGTCATGTTCTGGCTCGATCCAAAACACACACTTTTTCCTTTAAAGGGGCCTTTATTGTATAGATCTTTGGGCCGTGGACCCAGGCTGACTGGATTCGGCCAGGGCTGCCAGCAAAAAGGCGACGTCATGAGTCAGTAGTACATAGAATTTATCTATCTACCTATCTATCTCTATCTCTATCTCTGTCTCTATCTACAGTATGTATGTATGTATCTATCTATCTATCGATCTATCTATCTGCACCGGCAAGCCGGAAAAACGTTCGGTGCGTGTGAACGCCGCGAGAAGCATCCACTCGACCGAGGACATGGTGCAAGTATTGTTTTTGCTAGGGGGCAGGAACCCTATGCGGATATGTAGTCAACCTCGCAGGCGTCCCCACCGAAACTCAATCCAAATTCATGGACTTGAACTCATGTCACTTTCGGCTCTCAATGGATTTCGCGAGTTACGGGTTGTCCTGGGAACTCGTATCCTACATGCGGCTGCGGTCTGCTCTGTACGTGGGTCCCAGTCTCCACTCGATTGCTCAATGCCCATTGCCCAAATAGCCTCCAAGGCCCTTCATGATGCTGATGATGCACTACTCGGCGTCCATTGCATCACTCGCATCACCAGACACAATTTTCACTGCTTTTTCTGACCCTCACTTTGGAGCTCTCCCCCACCAAGCTCTGGGTTCACCCTCTCAAAAATCCCTCTCAACGACCACCCCCCCCCCACCCCCTTAACTCACTTCGTTCGCTCTAAAGCTAGCCTATCGGCTGGCTTTCGCTATGTATATATATATATATATAAACACCATTATTTTCTGAGCTCCTCGATTTTTTGAACCCATCATGACCACTCTTGCCCAACTGCGGCGAGGGACAGAAGGACAGCGTCAGGTCAGCGGCAATGTACTTTTGCAAGCCACTCGCCAGCCCTTTATGGTTGAGTCAGTGGTTAAGGTTGAGTCACCGCTGGGAGGCACGGGTGGGATGTTCATCGAGGAGAGTGCTCCAGCTCTATCAGTATCACCAAGAGAAGTGTTTCCTCCCGAATGGTCTTGCAATCCATGGTGCACAAAACATCATGAAACTGAAGGCCCAAGGTTTCCAGCCCCAAACATTGTTTTTTGAGGCTTGCCTCGGAGTCTTGCCGCAAGACTCATAGCATGGTTCAGTTGGATCCAGTCTGGGTTGCCCTCATTCGATCTCATTCTGACTCATTCCCTCTGCTCCCTGAACTTCCAATGATTCACTTTACCCCACCTGGCAGTCATCCACCACAATCAGCAGGAATAAAATGAGTCAGGCTTTCACTCTCATGGCGTTGTTCATTGAACCACCCAACTGGACTCTCTGGACTCGTCGCCTTCCACGTAGGCCAAGGGGATGTGTGCCGCCACGTCGGGCCAGGCAGGGAAGGAGTGTCGATAGTCGGTCACCGTCGCCTGGAGAAGCTTTGTCTCCTGAGCCGAAGCTGTCCACGATGGGGCCGTGTAGGTGTCCGGCTGAGCCATTGGCATCCATTCATCATACCACATATATAGTTCATAAATATATATAATATATATATATATTTATTTATTTATACATATATTACATATATAAAGAAGCTGTGAGCACTATTTTGGCCCACTTCGCAGCAGGTTTCTCAAACTTTAAAAGTACAAACACGCAAG